AGTGCCAATTGGGACGTCTTCTCACACGATCTGATTGATGAGTTGTTGGAGCTTCAGAACTCTCTGGTTCTTGTTCATCATGTGCTGGTTCTGCTTCAGAAGAATCTCCTTCTTCAAACTCTTTTTCCACATGTATCTGAGTAGTCTCTGACTTTTTAGCGCTATCATCGTGTTCTTTTCTTTGTAGTTTATCTTCTACAAAGATAACATCCCTGCTAATGATCACTTTGCGGGCAGTGGGATCCCACAAGCGATACCCCTTTACTCTATCAGCATACCCAAGAATTTGCATTTCCTGGATTTTGGATCCAGCTTTGAAATTTCTTGGGCGTTGTATATCACGTACACAATACTTCCAAATACATGGAGGTTTGAATAATCAACTGGTTTACCAGTCCACATCTCCATTGGTGTCTTCAGCTCTATTACAGTTGATGGAGCTCGATTCACCAAATAACAGGCGGTATTAACTGCTTCTGCCCAGAATGATTTTTCTAGGCATGCGTCCCTCAACATTGCTCTTGTTCTTTCAAACAAGGTTCTGTTCATCCGCTCTGCCACTCCATTTTGTTGAGGAGTGTTCGCCACTGTGAACTGTCTTTTGATGCCTTCTTTCCTGCAAAAGTCATCAAATTCTTCGCTTGTGTATTCTCCTCCATTATCTGTTCTGAAACACTTGATCTTATTTCCAGAATCAAGTTCCACCCGCGCTTTGAAGTTTTTGAAAGTTGAAAACACGTCTGACTTCTTCTTAATAGGGTGCACCCAACATCTCCTGGAGTAGTCATCAATAAATAAGACAAAGTATTTTGCTCCACCTAGGGATGTTACTGGTGCTTGCCATACGTCAGAGTGAACCAATTCTAGAACACTTTTGCCTCTAGAATTTGATGTGTTGAATTTCAACCGGTGTTGCTTACTTGTTATGCAATGCTCACACAAAGTAAGTGATACCTTTGTTAAGCCTGGAAGTAGCTTTTGCTCCACAAGGACTTTCATTCCTTGTTCTGACATGTGTCCAAGTTTCTGATGCCATATCATTGCAGAATTTGAACTACATGAGGCAACAGAGGCTTCTGCTTCTAGCAAAGTCTCTCCCTTCAGTATGTACAAGTTTGCAGCTATCTTTTCGCCTTTCAGCACCACAAGCGCTCCACGGAACACTTTCATGATTCCTTTCCATGTTTCAATCTTGCTAGCATTATTATCCAACAATCCGTAGGATAATAAATTTTTCTTCAGACCTTTCACGTGTCGCACATCTCGAACAACTTTAATTGTTCCATCATACATCTTCAATTTGATGGTTCCCACACCAACGATCTCTAAGGCATGATCATTACAACTATACATAGATCCTCCTGAGACAGGTTCATAATGATGGAACCATTCTCTTCTTGAGGTCATGTGATATGTCGCTCCTGAATCAATGAGCCATATATCTGCAAATCTTTTTCTGCCTTCCACGGTGGTTGACGCTTCACAGCATAAAGCATCTCCATCATCTGAAGTGTTTGCGGTATTGCCTTGTGGATTGGAGTTTTTATTTAGACTCCAACAATCCTTCTTCAAGTGACCCTTCTTTCCACAGTGGTAGCACTTTAAATTCTTCTTGCTCCTCGACTTCGATCTACCATGTTTATGACTGCTGCTTTGGCCACGTTCTGTTGATCTCCCTCTCATCGTTGTCAACGCTTCTGCTTGTTGCAGATTTACTTGTCTGTCTTCCTTGTTCTTGCGCCGATTTTCTTCTTGTAGAACAGCAGCTGCAACGTCATCGAAGACTAGACTGGTGACATTACTGTTTGTCAAGTTGATGATGAGTTGATCGTACGAATCCGGTAGACTTTAAAGTAGAAGTTCAGCACGTTCTTGTTCTCCTATTTTACAGCTTAAGGATGTAAGCTGAGAAAATAAAGTGTTCAGTGTATTTAAGTGCTCCGTCACTGAAGTAGATTCTGGCATACGGAGAGTGTACAATTTTCTCTTAAGAAAAATTTTATTGTGCAACGATGTGGCCTCGTACAGTTTGGTGAGATGATCCCATATCTCCTTAGCTGTCATCTTCTCATCGATACTTGACAATACTTCATCTGCTAATGCTAGATGAAAGTTTACCATAGCATTTCCGTCCATTTCGATCCATTTGTTGTCATCTGTGAAATCTACTGGCCTTTCGCTGATAGCTGCTAGACAACCGTCTTTCCTCATGATGGCCTTCATCTTCAATTTCCACAATGAGAAATTTCTCCCATTGAATTTTTCAATATCAAATTTCGTTGCCATTGCTTCGTTTACGGATAGCTCCCACTATTTCACTATCGTGAATAGTTCTCTAGAACCTTCAAAGAATGGGTAATAACTTCTTACTTTCTTATGTTGAAGGATCCACCTTTTGGTGGCAACCACAAAGACAATAAGCAGATATTATACACTCTAATCTAGCTCTAATACCAATTGTTGCGGAAGACGGCTATCGGATAGAGCAAAATCGCAACTAATAATTTGAGAAAATAAAAATGAAGATAAAAGAGACAAAAAATTTACGTGGAAAACCCCTAAAAATTTAGGGTAAAAACCACAGGCAACAGTAGAAGAATTTCACTATGAGAAAATAGGAATTACAATCTCTCTCGATCTACCAAGGAGAAAACAATGATAATTCTCTTTTGATAAAAAGGAGAAAACAACTCTCTAGAAACTCTCTAAATTCTCTTTAGTATTGGAAGAAAGCTAGAATGCTTTGGGATGGTTTTGAAGCTAAATGATATAGTTGAAACTTAAGGACTAATTTTATAAATACCCTAAAGTTTAGTGACTAAAGTTTATAATTTACCCATTTAATTTTCAAACATTATTGCACATAATTTTGACATTGTTGCATCTAATTTTGACATTGCAATATTAGGTGCCTAACTTGAATTAATTTTCCAAGTTTTGACATTTCAACAATCCCAACGACGACGAATACAATTTCACCATTAAATCCGCCGATGGCTCATCGGATCCCAGAATTTCTCCCACCATAGCAGCCTGAATTCAACACACAAGTTTAAACAAGTGAACTAAATGATAATAAAATATTATTTTTTTGAAACAATTTGAATTAAAATAATTATATCTATAAAATGTATATACGTAGTTAATAGAGTGTATATAACAAAAAGATATATTTGCAAAGTTAAAAGTGATTTGGTTTTGTTTACCGTATCGGTGAAAAGGGAGGCGCCAAATTTGACGAGTGAACAAAGCGATTTTAGATTTTCTAAATAATCAGGTGCCTTTATTTGACACGTTTCTATATGCATGTTTCTTTTTTACATTAAATTAACCTAGGTTGATTTTAAGTTGATTCGAAGGTTGACATATCGAAAAATTTAATTTTTAATTTATATATGAAATTTGAGAAGATTTAAAACCATGATTTCGATTCTATAAAAAGAAATTGAATAAAAAAAGTAGTCTCGTGAATTTTTAGAAATCACCAAACGAGATAAAAATATAATAAAAGAGCAGTAGCTGACGATTTATATTTAAGAAACCTAATATTTTGGAGGTAAGAAGATGACATTTAGGGGACGTTTAGCTCGGAATGTAAGATTCTCGTCAGAATAGAATCTACGTTTCTTCGTTTGGTTAGTCTAGAAATTTTATTTTCGGTAATGTAAGATTACTAATAGTAAATTTTTTGAGATATATTACCAGGAATGTCATTACCTCTCTTTCCTTAGGTATTGTTGGATTTTTGGCTTTTAGACTAAAATGCCCTTAAATATTTTTTTCAAAATTTTTTTTCTTCTGTCATTCAATAATAAAAATTTTACGAATGTTAAATTATAAATTTATCTTTAAACTATTTTAGATTTACAAAAAAAAAATCTATAATTAAAATTTTATATGAAATTCATGGGTTAAAATAAAATTTTACCCTTTCATTAAACCTTTTTATATTTTCAATTTTGTAAAAACAATTATATAAATTTTATGAATTTAAATTTTTTAAAGAAAATATATAAATATTTTCCAACTTGTTAAAAACAAATATATAATAAGGATAATTTGGTCAAATATACATTCCAATAATCTTTTATTCATTTAACCAAACACGGTAATCTTACATTCCTGTTAAGCCAACCAAACACAAAATACAACATTCCCAGTAATCATATTCTCTGGTAATCTTACATTCCCACTGGTAATCTTACATTCCGTGAACCAAACGCACCCTTAACGTGTTACATCGTATTTTTTTAACTGTAATAAAATTGAATTAAGAGTTTAGTGATTATATTATTATTTATAAAATTTTAATGACTAAAGTGTAAGTCCCAAAATTTTGGAGACCATTTATGTTATTTACCCTTAATTCTTTTTTGCACGTAAATTATACTAGTCAACGTGAAAAAGATCAAAATAAAAATAATTAGTTTTAAAGTTTTGTACGACTTATGATGTTGGTGGGAAAATAATTATTTAAAAAAGAATTTTTTTATCATGTAAAGTGGATTGAATTGTATATCTCAATAGAAATGTATATATATTTAAAATAAGTATAATTGAATAATTTTCATATTAAAGATATATTAACTCAAATCTTTCCCATAAAAATAAAAATAAATATAATAATAAAGAATTTGTTAAGAAATAGTATAGACTTGAAGTGGAAATGTAATTAAAATGGGATTTTACCAATAGAAAGAAATGGGTCATAATCATAATCTTAATTATTCCCCCATAAATCACATAATTCAAAGTAAAACTTCGTAAACATTAATTATCCAAAAAAAAAAAAAACTTCGTAAACATGACAAAGAAACTCATCGAGTCAACGAAGAAGATGATGATCTTGAGCTTCACTCGAATTGTTTACATACACAAACACAGAGAAAAATCCCTTCCGTATTATTGTTTCAACGAAGACGATGATGAAACTCATCGAGTCAACTTCAAACCCTCTTTTTCAAAGCCCTGGTCGTCTGTCCGTCGGCACGGGCGGAGACAGCCTTGGTCGACGGTGTAAGCAGCCCTCGCAGTACGGCTAGGAACCCAAGCGCTATAAAAGGCGAGTACATCATCGCCAGTTTATTGGCCATAGGCTTCTTGGATCCCAACATGTCTCCCACCATAGCCGTCTGAAAATTTCAGCAGATCGTAATTAGAACCGAACTTAGAGAAAGCGATGGAGTTTTAGATTAATTTACCGTGGAGGTGGCAATAGCGGAGCCGAAGATGAGGCAGGTGGATTTGAACCAAGGCTTGGAGTTCAACAATCCGTAAAGGTTGATCATAGCGAGCGGCCACACGAAGAAAATCTCCAGCTTCATGAGCGCCATGAAAAAAGCAGGCTGCTCCAGCAGCAAGTAATCTTGGTGTTCGGTTGTGTACCATTTGTACAGACGAACGAGAACGTCGGGGATGACGGATTCCGGCACGAGAGCTTGGGCGTCCAGCAACGGCGGCACCAACGACATGGACAAGAATGTTAGCAACAGAATCGCATCCACCACTTTGCCTAAAAACCCCATGTTCCTGTTTTAACTATGGTGATCGACGATCTTTGTTTCTGGTTCTCCTGCAAAAGCTGCAAGTGATTTGACGCTTTAATATTGATTTGACTTTGATGGAGAGTGGTGGTGGGTGGATTGTTAATGAAATTATATTATTTGGTAAAAAGCAGCCACGTTTGACGAGACGAATAAAATATATATAAAACAACAATGACGATCAGTTTATCCAGAAGAATAAGATATTATATTTTTTATAAAAAAATTTAAAAATTCGAGTTATAAATAGAGTAAATTAACAGAGATAATATCCGGTCGGGTTCATCCACTTTGAAACTACATCCTCACGTTTTTAGGATATTATTAGGAGTGGATGCATAATTATCGATAGATTAACGGTAAAAATATTTAAAGTATATAATAATTTAAAATTTTAAGAGTACAACTATCATCTTAACTATTCTGTACATCCTTATTTTGTTGTATTCTTGCAAGAGCTGCCTCCGAATCACGCCACTCTCCTGGGAATTTAGTCGCAAAGTTAAACACCATAGTAGACTCTATACCCTAATCGAACGTCGTGTACTGCTTAAAATCATTTTTATTAATTGGGATGAATCACCACCTTATATTATAGTATAATTTATAAAATTATGTTTATATTATCTTTATAGGCCTACAATTTTTTTATTGAAAATCATTTGTCTTTTAATAATTTATTTGCTTTCTTTGATATTTCTTGCTATTTTTAATGAGAATTGATACACCTAAACTCTACCCTAGTTTCACACGGCACTTAAATTTTAAGTATTAAAATAAGAGTTACTCTTAGCAAAATTTTAAAAAATACAACACATAAATATGTGCAGGTTCATTACTACCGGTATCTAGTTCTTTTTTTAATAAAAAATAATAATTTTAAGTAAAATGTTAACATTATTTGATATTTTAATTAAATTAGTTTAACTTATGAAGTGATTTCAGGAGTAAAAGTAAATGTTATTTTTCTTATAAATCTTGAATTTGAGTATACGTGTATAGTGCATGCATTGTCAATTAATTAAGAAAGTTATGCTATAATTTGATTCTAAAATTTATGCTGTCTTTAAAGAATAAATAAAATTTAGAAAGAAAAATAGAGATATATGATGGTGTTGTACATGTTTATTATTTAGGGTTTTCTAGAGTTAGTGTGTGGTTCTTTGCTCGTAATCTTCTACAGTACTGTTCAATCAAACTAGACTAAGAAAAGAACATCAGATCTGGTGACCGGTTGGCTGAGGGAGAATCTCTTATCTGGACAGCTTGTTTTTTGTGTATGTACAGAGAAGGAAAAACTTTAGAAATCGATGATGGGTTCTCCGATTGTCAGATTGCGTTCAACCTTCCATGGCAGATCAAACAGCTTGGCCGTAATGAATTTGAAGATCTTGTTCACGTTGATGTTGTATGCAGCACTTGAAAAAAACAGTGTAGCATTTAGGGCCTTTGCATATGCTCTTGCCTGTCATAAATAACCAAAAACCAATTGAATATCAACCTCGTTATTCATCTCTGCGAACGGATATACTCGTATTGAACATATATTTATATCCGACATTAACTCGAATCCGATTAACATAGAGCAATGATAGAGTTTTAATCATATACCAACTACAACAACAGGATTTGAGATATTAGTGAAGGGTGAGAGATCCTAATCTCCCTGTTTATCCCCTCATTTTGACTTGGATTGTCTGCAAGTTTTCCCATTTCTAAGTTTACTCCCCAAACCAATACATTTAAGCATCGGTTCCGGTACCGGAATCCATCATTTGGAAGACATTCATCAAGCAAGAAATACCATGCCTCTCCAGTGTTGTTAAAATGGTTCAATTAAACAAGAATGGTAACACCAATTTACCTGACTGGCAATTGTCCACTGCAAATCAATAGGTAGTTGGATGAAATCATCAAATTTGGCTCCTATCAAAATAGGTATCGCCGTCTGCATAATCAAATGTTGCAATAATCAACATACAATGAAGTTTCCAAACAATGATAAATGATGGAAAGTGGAGGCAAAATGTGAAAACCTGATTCCATTTCCTTGCTTCTTGATACCAACTTATGACACTGCAACCACAGAATACATAAAGACTCATTCAATTTAGAATGCTGCCCAGATTTCAAAGTTCCAGGATAAATTGGATTCAAGGAGTTAATGGTTGATGATCATACTTGTTTAAAGTACATCTGCTTGTTAGATCAAACATGAAAAGAATTGCCGCAGAATCTTGGCAAGCTAGGGGAATGTGATTCTGAGATTTCTCAGCTCCTGCATTTCCAATTTAAAATATAAATAAAGTTGTATATGTGTGTGTGTGTGTGTGTGTAATTGTATATTGCTGTAATGTTTTTTTTAAAAATGGCATACCATCAACTTCCCAGATACTGTAATATATTCTTGCTCCTTCTACAACAAATGTTTTATCCATCAAATTCAACCCTTTCTCTTGATTGTCTTCTTGTTCATCTTTCTCATCCCCAATATATTTCGCCTTCAAAAGACAATGAAAAGATGTGCATTCGATTAACAACAATTTTCTTATATTAATGTTTATAGAATTGGTCTTGAAGCTAACCAGAAAACTAGTTTTCCCAATTTGAGGGTCTCCCAAGAGGCTGATTTTCAACGGAACCAAATCCGAGTCTTTATGATCTTGGTGGCCACTACTATGGCAAACGGGCGACGGCGGCGTCGTGGTAAGGTTAGTCGACGCCGTCGAAATGTCGTCGGCGGGGTTGGTAGCATGTGATAACATACGATACCCAATAGGATTTCCCGGGGAACACATGAGAAGTCTGTCCCAAAAACAGCAAAAGCACCGCTGCAAAAGCAAAACGCGACGCTGGACTCTGAGCCTAAAGTTGTTTTTAGCCATTTTGGGGGCAATCTGGGTCATAATTTCACCTCTCGATGGTCTCAGTCTGTATGGATTTCGACCATGAAATCAAAACTCCGGGGATGAATGAATAAATTCTCATGATTTTTCAAAACCTTATGGATATTTTTGGAAAATGCGCTCCAATTTCAGTTTCAACTTACGAAAGGGGTACCTTTCTAGCGACGAAACAGTGACTGCTTTAACGGGACGGTTCACCGGCATCAGGGACGAATCATTTTGGATATGGCCCAAATTGCCGGGTGGTTTTGCTTCTTGATAAGAGTATTCGATATTTTAATTGAATTAATTGATAAAACTGAAATTTATTTTGATTAATTAGTTGAATAATTATATATTAAATTAATTTCGTTAATTTTTAAAAAAAATTAATTATCAGATAATTTGATTCAAAATTATTTAATTAATTAAATCAATTAAAAATATTAAATATTTAATATATTATATATATCACATGAATATTTTAAATTATGATACAATTATTTTTTAATTATACTAAACTTGTTAAACTTTCAAGACATAACTAAATTTTAATTCAAATGAAAAAATATATTTATTAAATCTAAATTAATCTAATTGAAAAACTTATAAAATATTTTAATTTATTTAAAAAGCAACCAAATTAACAGAATTTTATTAATTCAATTAATATTTTTTAAAAATCGATTTGATTAATAGTTAAAAGAAAAATAAAATTAATTTAATTTTAAATCAATTAATTTGATGAATTAACCAATTGAATACATTTAGGGTCCGTTTGTTTCACGTAAAATATTTTTCAGGAAATGTTTTCCTCATTTTCCAGTGTTTGGTTGGAGGAAAACTGGTTGGTCAACGTCATTTTCCTGATCAACAGAATTTCTTCTGAAAAAAATGACATACGGTTTGATTTTCCGTAATTCATTTTTCAAACTTTTCACTTTAAAGAATAAATACTCAAAATAATTTTATTTTATGAATTTAATATTAATAAAATATTTTAATATCATTTTAATCAAAATATTAATTTTTAAAATATTTAAAATATATTTATTAATATTTTTTTATAATATAATATTATATTTTTAATATTATAATAAAATAATCAATTATATTATAATAATATAAGATATTATATTTTTATTTTAATAATATATAATAAATTATTAATAAAATTTATATTATTTATTATTTTCATAGAAATAATATTATTAAATTATTAATAATGAACAATATTATTTATATATTTAATATTTATATAATAATATAATAATATAATAATATTTTAATAATGATATTTAAAATATACTAATTAATATTTTTAAAATATAATATAACACTATTACATTAATAAATAATTAATATAATTTATAATATTTTTATTTCAATAAAATATACCAATATTAATATTTTTATTAATAAAATTATAAAAATAATATTTTTTAATAATATTATTATTTCTATATTTTAAAAATAATAATATTAAGTTTTATGATAAATAATACTATTTATTGTATTTAATATTTGTAATAAATAATTTTTAAAAAATTCATCCACTATTAAAAAAATGGTTTAAACAACATTTTTTAAATATTATAAAATATTTTTCAGAAAATATTTTTCAAAAAATCTAATGAAAATATTTTTTAAAAAATGTTTTAGTGGAATAAACAGACCCTAAAATGGAGCAAGGGCTCGAGACAAGCCCAAACAGGCGCAACCACTGGGGTAGGTAGCCTTAGCCCATAGGCCATCTCTATTCCGCGCCTTCGGGGCCGTTTCTTTCAAACCCTTGTTCCCTCCCTTATTTTCCCGCTCTCTATTGCTCCATAAAAATCCGCCCTAATCTTCCCAACGCACAAACCCTAGCTCCCTCTGGATCAAAAGAGTCTTCCGTTTCCGCTATAGCTTAAGCGTCTCTGTTTATAATAATGAATCGGAGAAGCCGATCTTTAGCCAGGCATTCCCTGCCTCGATCCGAACCTTTCTTAAGGTACCTCAAACCCGGCGCCCTAGCTCGCCTCAGAGATTCTCGAATCAGCGCCAGATCGCACCGAACCAGCTCTCTCTTCCAGATCTCTCCGTCTTTGCCGTCGTCTAATGATGGTCAACTCTTCTTATCTGCGGCCATGGACGGATTTCCTTGCTTTGTGCCGACAGCTAGAGTCTTCGGTCCCCGGTGTCTCCAGAGGAGAAAGTTAATCGCGGCCAAGGGAATGCTGTTTCAGAGTTCAGCACTGTCGGCTATGGATTTGCCAGATCCGGTTGTGGATTTGTTAGCTAGTGAATGAAAACGTTTAATCTGTGAATTTGAGCTAGTTTTTTTAGCCATAGCTTCTAGATTCAGTTGCTATTTTCTTGTTTCATAATTGGAAAAATAATATCGTCAATCAATTTGCAGTTTTCCCTTTTGAATCTGTTCTTTGCAATTCTAGGCAGTTTTTAGATATGAATAAGGAAATCAAATCTAAGTTTTAGCTTTAATTAATTAACGGAAAAACAAAAAGGCTGTTTGATGAGGCATCTTTATTAATGAATCACTTTAGTCATGTTAACGTTAATTAGGGTTCCGATCAAGTAAATCTGCAATTCTTCAAGGCTTTTAAAGTGCTTACATGATTGCTATAAGCTCTTCATTGCTGTAAAAACTGGCTCAGACTATGAATACTGGCTTTTGCATCATTTTTGATAACCTTTGTGCTTACCCTTTGGAGGTTTAGAATAAGGTTTTAACTGAAAGGACGCTAGTTGGCTTAATCTTTGTATGATTTGGCATACAAAACTGTAAGTTATGATATTGAAATTATTTGCTTAACTAAAGTATTAGCTTCAGGTTGAATCTCCTGCTGACCTTGGAGCTTGCATGATACATTCACATCCATACTTCATTGTCTTCTGTCAGTGGCATTCATCACGAGTTGAAGTAAATTATACATAAGTGGCGTCTCTTTGGTTGCATTTATTTCCTTATTTTAAAAACTTTTAAAAACTCTTTGCAAGCTTTGTTGAGTATATCTAGTCCGAATCCCATGTTGGTTACTTCATTGAGAGTAATGGAGGACAAGTCTCCAAATAGTAGCATTGGTTTTTGACAGAAAGGACAAAAAAGGAGCACGATGATAGGGGAGGATGCAGAACAAACCTGGGAAGATGCTCTGTGTTATTGCAAATTGTAGTGATGACAAGTGATTGAAAGATTGGCTAGTTTGGAGGGGAGGCTTTAATTCTTGCTAGATTCAAGGTACACACTCCCTGTATGGTGTCTTGAGTTTTGTAAAATAATATGTTTGGGTTGGAACATCAGAGGTCTTGGAGAATCGGTTAATACAGGTTTAGTTAGAGAACTTGTTGGATGATTTATTGTTGAGATGCTGTTTGTATAACAAATCAAACTTTAGGAGATCTTGGTGTCCATATTTCAGCAGATTTGGGGTTGCGGGTTGCTGCTAGGGAAATTCAGGAGGGATTCCAACCATTCGGATCCTGCAAAGTGTGAACCATGTGATGATTAAAGGTGTCAGCATTGAATCGAATTTTGAGTGTTGTTGCATTGTGTTTAAGCGCCTCTTTTGAGAAAAGAGCTGTGGTCTCAGTTACTGAAATTTAAAGAAATTGCCAACGGGGCATGGTGTTTTGGTTGGGGATTTCAGCATTGTGAGAAGCAGCAGCAGTGAGAGAAGAGGGCACAAAACAGAGGTTCAGTGTTAGAGATTTCAACGATTTCATCTTAGCTGGTGACCTAATTTCATATTTGTTAGGTGCTGGTGAAGATTTAAGTGATTTGCTTAACCAAAGTATCGTTTACAGGTGGAATCTCCAGCTGACACCTTTTGAACCTTGTATGATACATTCGCATTCATGCTTCTTTGTCTTCTGGTAATGGCATTCATCAAAAGTTGAAGTAAATAAATGGAGTCTCTTTGCTTGCATTTTACTTCCATAATTTAGGAACTCTTTGAAAGCTTTGTTGGGTATATTTAGTCCAAATGCCATCTTGGATAACTCCATCGACTCTAAATTAATGGAGTACGAATCTGCGAACAGTAGTATTGGTTTTTGTTAACTGCATCATTTGTGAAAGAGAGCACATAAACATGAGTAAGGTGACCTTCAAAAGAAGCGTGGGAGATTTGTCAGGATCTTAACCATATGATATAAACTTAAATACTCAACATTTATCATGCCATGTAAAATCATGAAAAATAATAAATTAGATGTTAAAGTGTATTTGAATACATCGGTAAATAAAATATATTGAATCTTAATATAGAAATTATGAATATTTAGTTTTGATATTCCAAATTAGTACACACAAGTCCTTTAGAGATTGCAATTCTTAATTTTTTAAGGATGAGATATTAGAAAATTTAACTTATGTACAATTTGGAGACAAATAATAATAAATAATCTAATACATTAAACTTAATTTCTAGTCATCTATTATTATCTATTAAAAATCTTATGATTTGATTGTTTTATAATTTGTAGAAAAACCTTATGTATGCAAAAAATTCTTATTGAGAGATTCACCCATCAAAACTAAGTTTGTCATGCGAGTTGGTCTGAATTAGTCAAGATAAAACCTTAGAACCGGGAGGACAACAAAAAAAAAATCTAAAGATAAATATACTTGTATACTTCGTTTTAACTGTCGAAACAAGTTATTAATTCTTTTAACAATAATTTTCTTTTTGTTCGGATTCCGATCCTTGTCTAAAATAGGGTGTTCTAACATGGGTATGTTCACTTTTGGATTAATTAAAAAAATATTAAACTTTACACAGTTAATTTTAAGTATCTAAAGAATTTTTCTTTAAAAATAAGTGTTTAACGTTTCCGACGTTACACTTTAAGGTGCTTAATGTTAAATTCGACTGTTAAATGACACGTGTCAGGTTTATAAAATTTTATTTTAAAAAATCCAATATCTCAAAAAACCTTAATTCAATCTCTTATCACCGTCAATCACCACCAACACCGTCGTTCAACCAAAACCCCAATATCATGCGACTACCAAAACTGCCACTAGCCAAACCCCCATACTTTACACAATGATTACACTAGGAAATCAACAATCATAGCAGCTAAATGATTTCAACGACATACAATGATTTCAACGAGTCAAGCGATGATTTCTCCTACCGTGCGTTAGATACCAATTAAAAAGAGCGTCTGATGACAAAGAGCAACCAGAATAACATTACGACTGACGTGAGTAAAGGAGTTTTTTTTTAGAGTTTTAGAGGTTATTTTGAAATTTAAGGAAAAAACGAGGTTTTTAAAAAATAAATTTTAAGATTTTTGTTTTAAAATAAAATAAAATTAGAATTTTATAAACTTGACAAGTTTTATTTAACAATAGATATAATCAAAACACCTAAAATTATCACTTGAAAACTCTAAATACCTATTTTTAATAAAAATTCTTTAAACACCTAAAGTTAATTTATAATATAATTTAAATACTTATTTTTTTATATTAATCCTTCATATTTTTATATTTTCCATAATTTTGAGTCCTTGGTGGGGTTATCTCTCCATCCTAATTATGGGTGTCGGACAATAGTATTTTGAGAAAAAAATAAAGAATTAGGATAACGTAGTTCTCCATCCTTCTGTAAAGAGAAACATTAATTTATTTAATTTAATAATATAAAGTTAAAATAATTTTGAATTTAATTTTATAATTTATTTATTATATATTAACTTTTTTACATTTTTTATAAAATGTAACTAATAATATCTTAATGCATAAAACTAATAATATATAAATAAAATGGAAATCAGGTGTTTTTTTCGTTGTGCGAAATTATTTTATTTTATTTTAAGTTCTAATTAAAAGTATTTCTATCATTTAGTAGTTTCATTCATTGTAATAATTGTTTAAGTAAATTTAAATACAAAAAAGGAAAGAAAAATCAAAATTTAAAAAGATAAGCTCACATCACAATCAGAGTTCGGGGCAGTATGCAATGCCAACTCAGATTTGGAGCTCTGCTGCTTCACACAAATCAACCAATTAATCAATTGAAAAAACAACAGATTTTAATTAATCTTCTCAAAAAAGCACAACGAACAAAAGAGATGAACCTCAGCTTGAAAGCTCAAATGCTGTTCATGGACTTCCTGTCCTCGATGGCAACTGGTGAGAAGTAGAACTAGACAAGTACCTCATCAATTTAAAACAATCTTGATCGCGCCTTGTTCGGCCCATGTCAGACTCTGCAAGTTTCATGGAAAACAAATTCGCATTCTTTTAAGTTATTGTCCTCAAGGAGATTAAGCATATAAGTGGATGTAGCCAAGAGACCAAACCTGACAAAGATTATCGAATAGTTGTCGGTCGCTTTGAGATAACTTCGATAAGAAGTCCGTGAGATAATTTGCCAAGTTAATCTTCAAGATTCATCGGTCAAATTCGGTCGGTTATGAAATTTGAATATGTAGAGCATGTAAGTAAATTTAGTGGGGGGAAATTTTTCACCACTTAAGGGGATCTGCAACATTTAGTGTGTTGTCTTCATAATCGTTCTCTTGATTCTTCAAATTAGCGATCGAGTTAAAAGTAATTAGTAATGCCAAAGCGAAGGGAACTATGGATGATGAGAGAATTCAATGTTATTTCTACTCGATCAAACCTCGTCATATGCTTTTGCCATCGCTTCAAGATGTTCATATCCAGACTTGCCTAATGGTGCAGCAGCAGCCGAGGATAACAAATCTTTGTCAGCGTCCATGTCTCGATGAATTTCTTCCCAGTCGCTATCCTGCAAAAAGAAATGGTTCAGAACCTAAACATCTACCCTCAGCTGCCATTATCATTATTTGAGGAAGTGGGTCTATTAAACTTGGGGATTAACACCCTGGCAATACAGTACCCGAATTTGAATTCTGGAAAATAAAATACCCCCTCCCATGAACCGTAAATACAGAGCATGAGAAATAGTAAAAGAGGACAGAAACTACCTCATCCTCGGCATCCTGAACTTGTTCTTGTATTTCAATCAATGCATCTGCCAGTAAAGCCAATATCTGCAGTAATAAGCAGTCATTAGACCGTATTTTTTGTGTTCAATATTCGCTCATCAATTCCTGTTAGATATATTTCTGAAATAAGTAATAGAAATACCTTTGCTGGAAGTGGCATTATAGTCCACTGATCCGGAGCAGATTTAGCTTTTGAACGAGAGGTTATCCCTGACATAGACTTCGGAGAAAAAGGACGAGTTACTTCCCAGTTAGCATATCCAAGAGAAAATGATTTTCAAGCATTTAAGAAATATCACGAACCTTAATTAGAAGGCCTTGGACATTGATATTTGTTAATTCAGGATGCCTAGTGGATAGCAGTAGGGCTAAAGCACAGTTGTAA